GCATTGGGGTACAAACATGGATAGTTTGCTACTGCCCCGAATCACTGACCCTGGTAGCGAGATGTACTCTCGCTGAGTCAGTGTTCGCCGTAAGGTTTGCATGTGATCAGTGCTTGTGTGGGTTGTACTGATGTACTAGAAATCTGCACCGTCGAAATCTGGGGAGCAAATGGGACATTATGATGAATACCACTCAGAGACATCTCATCATAGTTCATGGTGCCAGGCTGTACAAAATGCATGTTACTTTCGTCCTGTGTTTGCGCCGTATCGGGCAGTGATGGTCTTCTGAAATGTGACGGCTTGGGTTGTTGGATGGTAAGGTCAGTAGTTGAGTGAAAATCCAGGTCGCATTTGCGGGTGGTGCATGTATGGAGTCCGTTGGAAGTGTTGCTGTGTTGCAGGTGCTGATTGAGGAGGTGTATCTCGATACAAAGCGTCGTTGATGAAGCGTGATTGCAGATCCATGGACGGAGGGGAAGTACTCTTCGCAATGATATTTCCAGCCTGGTCTGAAGACCAATTTGTGTGCATACTCTCTGGACTGTTGTGGTCTGGCATTGTTGAATGGGGCCTGATCACAGCAGCACCGCCCCAGTAGTTTCCAGAATCCTGCGGAGTCAATGGAGTTGGTGGCGCCAGGCTGCCACCATGGCCGATGGTAGTGGCACTTGAAGATGAGAATGTCCGTGCAAACTTTGGTGATGCAGCAGCATCAGAGAAGCTCATAGCCATTGGGGAGCGTTGCGCCGAGCCCGGTTGCGACTTTTGCACACGACCGCCGGCATTTCCGATGCCACTTGAGCGAATTCTGCGAATCACCTTGTCGTTGTTGCCACCTGGTGAAGGCATGGGAGCTGAGTAGGATGCGCTTCGCATTGCGCTCGAGCTGAGATTGATGGGACGCTTCTGCCTCCTCGCAGCAATGCTCGACGACTGATCAGAATGATTGAAGTCATCGGGTGTACCATTTCGAATGTGGATGGCATCCATGTTGGTCGCCAGATTACTTGTCGACGAGTTCCTTCGCGCATATGCATCGTCACGGAAGTGCATTGGAATCTCAAGGTCAGAAGGCGTCCCACTGAGCTTGCGCGTTTGCTCTGGTGTGGTGAGGATGGCGTGTGCAGATACATTTTGTTGCTGATAGAAGCTGGACTGTGGGTACATTTGGCTTGACGCATCCTGCGGCCAAAACGGTAGCGTCTGTTCCGAGGCCTGAGAGACATTGTATGGCGCAAATTGATCCTCGGGCTCATCGGTCTGCTTGAGCTGCGCTAGTTGAGTAGGATCCTCAGTCCAGCCGGTGTAGACGGAGTTTAGCGAGGCAATGGAGGCCGGGGTGGGACCATTCGGTGACTGCGTAGTACCTGACGACTGGGTGCCATTATAGGGGGAAGCCTCGGATGAAATGGATCCTGTGCTTTGCTGTGGTTCAGCAGTGGTTGAGCCGTTGGTGTTAGTAGCTGTAAGTGCCGAGTAGTCTATTTGGAAATCGGCAAAGTTGTCGAACTCGGGATGGGACGGCGCAACATCACTTGGCATGGGCGCGGGGACGGTGAAGGAAAGATCACTGGAGTAGGGGTGGGGCATTCCGTTGTCGTAGGGAAAGTCGGGCTCCTGCGGGTTGTGCATGTAAGCGCCGTTGGTGGCAGCCATGATGGAGTGCATAAGGTCGTTTGGACGATATGCTGCAGACCGGTCGGCCTCGGGGACGGGATGCAGGGCATGTTGCATGTCGTATTGGTGATGCTGCTGTTGTTGGGGTTGTTGCTGCTGCTGCTGATGGGGTTGGGATTGCTGCAAGACGAGGTGGGGCCCTAGATCAAGGGCTGACGGACCCTCACCGGCCTGGACAGGCAGGCTCGCGGGACTGATGTCAGCAGTCGGGTAAAAGTCCGGTTGCATAAGCATGTGAGGGTGTTGTTGCTCCTGGGGATGCGCATAGTGGTTGGGCATGACGGACACGTGCGAATGACCAAAGGGATGCGTCAGAGACATGTTGTACTGGTTCATGAGCTTCTTGCGGTCCTGCTTGACTTTGGCTCTGCGGTTCTGGAACCAGTTCTACGGCCATGTTAGCTATGCCCGCTTGCGGCCAAGAGGGGTCTACTTGCGTTGATCTTGTCCAGCGGCACGCCCAGCCGCGAGGCAAACTCCTTCTTCACATTGGTGCTCGGCTTGTGCTGGGCCAGAAAATGCTGCTCGAGGATGTCGTGCTGGTCCTTGGTCAGGCGCGGCTTGACATCGCTGCCGGGCTGCTTGGCCGCGGGCGGTGCGGTCGTCGAGGTGCCGGTCGAGTCCATGGCGCCGCGCACAGCGGACAGTAGAGGCTGAGGGGGGGTCGGATGGGCAGCGAGAGCGCGCGTGAGTGAGTAGTGACAGACAGACAGAGGTGGCGGTCCTAGGCAGTAATGCGTAGAGCGGGCACGGATACACGGGATGCACCGAGAACAGGGCGGCGCTGTGCCTATCAAGTCTGGGCCGGAGAGGAGAGTGGTGGGTGGTGGGTGGTGGGTGATGTGGAGGTAGCGAGCGACAGTTTGAGGCTGGAGCAAAACACAGCGGCGGGCAGGCGATATCTACACTACAGCAAGGAGCACGGAAAACGAGGGTATTCAGCGCGACGGCGCGGTAGGGTGGGATTAGGATAGCAGAGAGGCACGAAGCGAGAGACCGAAGTGACCGAGAGACGGGGAAGGAGAGCGAGCCATCAGGTTGTTGGCATGGTTGGTCGGACGTGCTAAGGTGCTAAGCCACTGCACCCCCCTCCCACCCCCCCAGCGCGCATTATGCCCTCCCACTCCGGCACAAAAATAACCTGCATTTGGTGACACTCGTTGCTCCGCTCAGCAGACGTCTGCCGTCTGCCCTCGCTGTAGCCGATGGTGATTTGAGCCTTTCTTTTGCCCCCTCCCGCCAGCCCATCAGCCCCAAACATTCACCTCGACTGGCCGGCCTGCCCAACCCCCGAGGCGCTTCGCGACGGGGTGCAGGGGGGCGCGCGACGTCCACACGCCAATTGGCCCGGTCGTGGAGCGAGCGGCGGCGGCTGTGATCCGCCCTCGGGCGGGAGACCTGTCCCACTGATACGAGGGCGATGGGCATGGGCGTGGGCGTGGGCGCTGCAGCTTGGGCCTTGCCCCGTTCGGAGAATAGATTCTGGATAGATATGGGTTGGCTGGGACCGATGGCACGAGTGCATGTCAAAGGCCAAAGCTGCCCATTCCATCCACGTTCCACGTCAAAAGTCCATGTGCGTAGTGGTAGTGACATCGGCCCCCGGCGTGGCTTCATGGCTTTCAACGTCAACGTGGTCCGCGGGCTCGAGCGCCGCCCTTTGTATCGCCGCCTCCACACGCCCAGCTCGCCTTCTTACCGACACACTCTGTCTCTGACGACTCGCCGAGTAGCAGCTCGTTAGTAACCGCTTCCGGCCCGAGATGTGCATTGTGTGACGAAATGTCCTCGCGACGCATGGCCAGGGCGCCTATCGCACCGCTGATCTGCTACTGCGGAAGTCGGCGCAGATGCGCGAGATGGTCTTGTTCCTGACCGTACCTTGCAGTAATCCCACTAAAGGGGCTTCATGTACCACTGGCCGAACTCAATTTGGCCCTTGCGTGTCCTACAAACTTCGTCTGCCGACCGACTCAGGAAACCCCCATATCCTAGCCTAGCTCTGGAACATTTCAGCCAGTGCGCTGCCTGACCCGCTCCCCAAAACCAAAAAAAAAAAAACCCCCCCACCATGCTGCAAGGGCGCCCTCATCATCATGCTTTGCATACTGCCGACAACGGCCAACATGTCGCTTTCTTCGGAGACTAGCCTTCTGTTCTCCTCCAGTTTACCGTGCCGCACCACCCAGACGGTACGCCAAACTGACGTCTTCAACTGCACGCCTACCCTCACCATTCTGGAAAACACTCCCCCGAGGCTTAGACGCTCAGAATAGAGTATTTCATGCGATGCGACACACTTTCCGACTTTGTTCCAAGCAGAATGACTCGGCCAATCCAACCCGGCTAGTGGCACCACTTGCATGCTCGGTAAGCCGCCTGGTGATGGTTAGGCTGTGCATGCATGAAGTAGACGTGAATGTTTGGACGAGGCTTCGCCGCACTCTCCGTCAGCGACTTGCTCTTCTGTCCAATCCGCCCCTTTTCATAGCTCATGGCCTTTGCTCGTCTGACTGGTAGTGACTACAGCTGAGTGATCGGTGTGCATCCAAGGAACACCAGAAAGTGTGGACCGAAGCAAGACTCCGATCTGAAAATCTTTCGAGTAACACACCAAGAGCCAAGTAAAAGAGTCATTGGCGGGACAGTCATCTATACCTGTCATTGGTAATCTATGTCTCTTTCCATCCACATTATGCCACACGACCTTCGACAGACGCCCGGAGATACTCGCCTATTCCAAGGCATCTGTAATCTGCATCTCTCCCACCCCAGATGCCTTGTCCCAGCTCTTCAGTTTGACACTCTCCATATCTTTCACTATATAGTCTGCGCCGGCTTCCACTAGCTGTTCTAGCGTGTGGGTCGTGTACAGGCCGACTACGACGAACCCTGCCGCCTTGCCTGATCGAACCCCCGCTGGTGCATCCTCAAAGACCACGATAGACGGCTCCTTTCGCTGGAGATCCAGTTTCTTTGCTCCCATCTGATAGCAAGTAGGATCCGGCTTGCCGTTAAGTACATCTTCTGCAGTGACGAGGTTCTTAGGATGCGCCAGCTTCATAACATCAAGCCAGCCTTGAACAAGCGGTCGTGTGCCCGAAGTGACAATACACCATGGAACCACCTCCTCTTCTAGCCTCTCTAGCAGGGCTCGGGATCCGGGAATCTCGATAGCGTCTCCCCCGAATTCTTTCGGTATCAGGCCTTCTGCGTGGGAGATGTCTGTTCTGTCAGTATACCAAATCTCGTAGAGGTAGATCGTACCCACATTCCCAGTTAGCGAGCTTCGGCTCATAGATCTGGAGCACGTCGATCGATCTGCGGCCGTGGGATGTAGCAAGAATAACATCAGGATCGACGCCAATCTCCTTTCCTATCCTGAGTGATCCATGTAAGCTTACGTACTAGCAAATCTTCAGTGGCCTTCAGTGGCTACCTACTTTTGCCAGTGCTTGACTATAGCTGGTGTCGAGTCGATGATTGTACCACTGCTGGAATTAGCTGAGAGTTATGGGATTTTTGAATTGATCACATACTCCATGTCAAAGAGCTGGATATAGTCAGATGTTATTGTTCGCTTCTGAACAGCTTAATGGTACTTACCAAGCCATGGCACTTGATCGTCTGTGCAGGTGACGAGAAAGACGGCTTGGGTACGGTCATGATGGCGCTCGACTGTTGTAGATGCAGGTCACCTTTAAGATAGTAATTACTGGCGAGTCCCGTTTGCAAACACATTTGGAGGTTAGATATGACGGTGAGAGAATTGTGGATGCAATGTAGCGCTAGCTGTCTTGGGCATTCTATCCGATATGATGTAGCCAATCATCATAATGACTACTTCTAGAGGTAGGAGCTGCGACTAACGGCCACCTGTCTGATCGCATTGCAATATCTGTTTTTCGGAGAGACTATTGATGTATGGGATGTAGGTAATTCAATTTGGCCTCAATGGGACAACGACTCGCAAAACTGTGAGAACTGAGCGATATGTGAGCCGCGGGAGGCAGCACTTCCAAGGCTGAGTGGGGGTAAGCTAGCTAGGCGGAGAAGCGCGGCAATATTTTTCACGTACCGAACTTTTCCTGAAGATCTCGAAATTACAAACTCGACATCAACACTCAACCTCAACATTCCACAATGAAGGTCGGAAGTAAGTTTAAAGGCTAACATGACATGCAACAGCGACTAACGTTGAATCCAGAGCCAAAATCTAAGCGCGTACCTGTGCGCCTGCGACACAAGATCGAGAAGGCGTCAGCGGCGAAGCAGAAGAAGGCGAAGAAGCTAGCGAAAAAGGTACAAGGATCGAGCGCAACCGTGTAGCGCATGTGCTGACGTATTTAGGACCCAACATGGCGATCCAAGACGAAGAAAGAACCTGGCATTCCCAACCTGTTTCCCTACAAGGACAAGATTCTGGCAGAAGTTGAGGAACAGCGCAGGAGGAAGGAAGAAGAGAAGGCCCGCCTGCGGCAGTTGGCGAGAGAGCAGAAAATGGGTGGCACAGCTGCAGAAGATGCCATGGAGGATGATGAGGAGTTTGAACAGTTTGACGCAGAAGGCGACGAACTTCTGGCCGACGACAGCAGCGAAGATGAGGACTCGATGCAAGTGGTAAGGCTACCCAGTTGAAGTTCATTCTATGAGTATACTAAGAATTTGCAGGATAACAACTCCAACCCAATGGCTGCTCTCTTAGCTTCAGCAAAAGCGCGCGCCGCCGAATTTGAGAAGAACGACCACGACCAAGACGCGATGCAAGACAGCGAAGACGAGGAGTCGGATGAAGAGGATGCGGTCAAAGTGCGAAAGGATGCATCAAGAAAGCAGTTTGATAAAGTCTACAAGCAGGTTGTCGATTCTGCGGACGTTGTCTTGTATGTTTTGGATGCTCGAGACCCCATGGGAACACGATCCAAAGAGGTGGAGCAAGCAGTCATGGCAGCCGACCGTGGAAGCAAACGTTTGATCTTCATCCTCAACAAGATCGATCTCGTCCCACCGCCTGTGCTTCGAGCATGGCTCGTTCACCTTCGTCGATCGTTTCCTACTCTTCCACTGCGCGCATCGAAACCTGCGCCGAATGCGAGGACATTTGAACACAAGGATCTTACCATGAAGGGCACATCAGAGACTTTGTTCAAGGCTTTGAAGACTTTTGCGGAATCACGGCAGCTCAAGCGATCAGTCAAGGTCGGCATCATCGGTTATCCCAACGTTGGCAAGTCATCCGTCATCAATGCCTTGACTTCTAGGCTAGGCGGAAGAGCTGCCGGTTGCCCAACTGGTGCTGAGGCCGGTGTTACCACTAGTCTCCGCGAGGTCAAATTAGACAATAAGTTGAAGCTTCTGGACTCGCCCGGCATCGTCTTCCCCAACACCACTGAAGGATCCAAAGATAGCAAAGTATTGCAGAAGGCGCGACTCATTCTCTTGAACGCAGTCCCGCCTAGAGAGATTGACGACCCTGTTCCAGCCGTCACTCTCCTGTTGAAGAGGCTTTCGTCATCGGAGGAGCTCTTTGCGAAGCTTATGGAGGTATACGATCTGCCTCCTCTACATAGTGTGGGTAATGATCGAACAACCGACTTCTTAGTCCAGGTAGCGAGGAAGAGAGGTCGACTTGGAAAGGGCGGCGTACCGAATATGCACAGTGCGGCACAAACAGTTATTAATGACTGGAGGGATGGCCGCATTCAAGGATGGACAAGCCCACCCAAGGATGCGCCCACGGGGCCTTCTACTACGAAAACTGCCCCTGCTACCAAGGGTCTCGTTGGTGACCAGAAGGAGATTGTCAAGGAGTGGGCTGCTGAGTTCAAGCTCGAAGGGCTTTGGGGTGACGACGCAAATGACACCGCGGCGCCGGAGGCAATGGAGATATGAAGCTTACTCGAATTGACTGGGTCGGCGAAATGGCGTTTACATGTGGCTTTAGTACCAGCCTCGTTTTTGTTGCCGAGGAAAAAGGTCTTGAGGCTAGATATCTGACCACATCAATGACACCTGTTTTCGATAATAATATGGCAATCGTGAAAAGCAACCATGGTACTCGTATGGAGTTGAACCGTATAGTTGGAAATTCAGCAAGTCGTCAGCAATTCAGTGTTACTCAACACCCCTTAGGGCTGCTCTCACTAATTAATGTACAACTCAATACTGCGACTATAAGCTTCACAGCTTGCGCGCTCAAAACAAGACAGCGATCGTGAAACTAGCGCCTGTCTGCACTTATTTTACGCGCAAACAAATTGTGGAGTCTCCCGATGGAAGCCTTGTCATTGTGCGGTTTCTATCCTGCACCGCTACTGACCGAACAAAGTCTCTGCGACATCGGATTATGCCATCAGCGAAAAGTTCTTTCCCCACTGCAATCCATGCCGATGAGAGAGATCCCATGGTACGTTCGCTACCATAAGCACCTTCTTTGCCCCACACCGTCGGCTTTCGTCGGCTCAACCCCAGAGCTTCATCACCTTAAGCTACACAGCTTAGGATACATAACGAGAGTCCCCAAAATTTACAATTCTACCACACTCCAGTCGCATTCACAATGGGTTCTTCAAAGGGTCTCCAGCCTCTGCGCTCTGTTTCTAAATCCATTAATGCTCTGCCCGCAGCTTATGCGGGTGCGCAAACCGCATCACGACGATATGCGGGGACACTTGCAAACTTCAAGATTCCCGCTATTAATAACGAGCCCAATGTAAGTAGAAGAACGCGGAGAGGCTTGAGTAATCGGGTAGCTAATGATTGAACTAGCAACACTACACCAAAGGCTCAGTAGACCGACAAAAGCTTCAAGATGCAGTCGCTCGCATGAAGAAGCAAGGTCCAGTCCAAGTACCTCTTGCTATAGGCGGAGAATATGTAGGAGATGCCGAATCACTGGAGCTATCACATTATTGACAACGTGTAGATCAACAACTCTTCAATCCTTACCCAGAACAACCCCTCCTCCCACGCCGACGTGATCGCCAAATACTCGAATGCCAGCCCCGCAGACGTCAAGAAAGCCATAAATGCAGCACTAGCAGCAAAGCCAGCATGGGAGTCACTGCCCTTCGCCGAACGTGCTTCCGTGTTTCTCAAGGCGGCTGACCTCATTGCCACAAAGTATCGATACGATATCATGGCTGCGACTATGGTGGGGCAAGGAAAGAATGCATGGCAAGCTGAGATTGATGCGGCGGCAGAACTTTGCGACTTCCTGAGGTTCAATGTCAAATATGCGGAAGACACATATGGACACCAACCAACACACAACTCTCCAGGAGTATGGAAGTAAGTATGGTTGGAAATTCCCTTTAAATGTCACTAACAATTGCAGCCGCGTTGAGTACCGACCCCTAGAAGGCTTCGTTTATGCTGTATCACCATTCAACTTCACAGCCATCGGTGGAAACCTTCCCGCAGCCCCAGCTCTGATGGGCAATGTAGTCGTCTGGAAGCCGTCGCCGTCTGCAATCGCCTCGAATTGGCTAATCTATCAAATCTTGATCGAGGCCGGTCTTCCACCAAACGTGATCCAGTGGGTACCCGGCGACGCGGTGGAAGTGACAAAAGAAGTTCTGTCACATAGGCAATTTGCATCTCTACACTACACTGGTAGCACGGCAGTTTTCCGGTCATTGTATGGGAAGATCGCCAACGGTGTGGCTGAGGGCAAGTACCAGAGCTACCCCAGGATCGTTGGCGAGACGGGTGGCAAGAACTTCCATCTTGTGCACAAGGATGCCGACATGACCAATGCTGCCATTCAGACTGTCCGCGGTGCTTTCGAATACCAGGGACAAAAGTGTAGCGCCTGCTCGCGCCTATACGTACCAGAGTCGGCATGGCCCGAGTTCAAGAAGATCTTGGTCAGGGAGGTTGAGGCACTGAAAATTGGCGAGCCTACTGACTTCTCCAACTTCATCGGCCCCGTCATCCACGAAGCTTCCTTCAAGAAGCTCTCCGGTGTCATCGATGAAGCCAAGAACGACAGCGAACTCGAATTGGTTGTTGGTGGCAAGTACGATAGCAGCAAGGGCTACTACATCCACCCTACGATTTACCGTACCACGAACCCCAACCACCCGCTCCTTTCCCGCGAACTGTTCGGCCCCATTCTGGTTACCTACGTCTACGATGATGCTCCGGCTAACGCTTTCGGTGACATGATCAAGCAGATCGATGAGACTTCAGAGTATGCGTTGACTGGTGCAGTATTTGCAAATGACCGGGAGACGATCAAGTTTGCCTCGGACAAGCTTAGGGACACTGCCGGTAACTTCTACATCAACTGCAAGTGCACAGGTGCTGTCGTTGGCCAGCAGCCGTTTGGTGGATCTAGGGCGAGTGGAACGAACGACAAGGCCGGCAGTGCAACCTTACTTGCAAGATTCGTCAATATGAGAGCAGTCAAGGAGGAGTTCTTGCCCACGGAGAAGGTCACTTACCCTAGCAACGAGGTGTAAGATGATACTCTATGGACCACCATCTAAGCAGAATGTATTGATGGCACAAAGGTTGGCCACAAAGCACGCATTCACACAGGCATTTGAATAAGACCACGGTAGAATGAAAATGAGAAGCTCGTGCAAATTATTCAGCCTTTGCACTAAGATGGGGTGGTGTGAGAAGAAGCAGAACAAGCCCACCTCTGGGAGTTCATACTGTACCTCGGTAACATAGAAAGAGTGAAAAACGTTGAGAGTTTACCAATTTCCACCACGCGGCTCGGAGCATCCTTCTAGAATGCTCATGAATCGTGGCGGGACCCGCCTTTTCAGGCTACACCGGTCCACATGGTGGCTTACCAGAGATGCCATTCTGGTGAAGTTGTTCTCGAATTAGGAAACGGAGTGTGTGAGACTTGTTAGTGCCGGTGGGGTGTTTTACTGAACTAGCCAGACATGGTGCAGCATGTTGGTCAGGTTACACAGACGTAATGGCAAACTCTTTACAAAACTAACCATGCCCGCATACATGTCTGATCGTATACTGATGTTGTGCGGGGTCGAGACTGCAAGATCACCGACTGTAGACGCGCAGGGTGCAGTAGTCGATGATGTCGTGTACAGAAGGCCATAGAATGCGTATACAGACAGTTATCGGTCGAGCAGCCTCGCACGTGTGCTTAGCCTCGGGATGACACAAAGGCGCCTCAGAATGAGAGTTCTGCAAAGATCCGACACCGATACTCCGTTATGAAGCAGCACCCTCCGCTCTTAAGTCCACGAGGAACAGCGGAGACTAGACTTTGGTCATTGATTCGCCCATGCAGCCTCGGCATCTCGGTGAAAAGTTGCGACACACGCTAAATTTACACAGAGATTGCGCCCATGACGCTGATGTATGTACAGTTAACGATCTACATACAGGCGGATGCAGATGCTTATCGGCGCCCCTTCCATCATCCTCCCATCCCTGCCTCTCCCGAGGCTGGAGGCTGGAGGCTGGAGGCTTACACGACGACTACTAATTGGCTTGGGGTGAAAGGCTTGTCAAAGGTGCATTCCTAGACGCGACTAGTGACGACGAGACGAGCCTAGCTTGGGGCTTATTCGGCCGAGCAGAGCATCTGCATCTTGGATTTTTCATCATTACTTTCGCCTCGCGGATCGCACGTTCCAGCAACGGGCGCTTTGCGAGTCGGGAATAGCCATGGCAAGGGCACCAGGCGTTGGGTCTGTTGTTCCGCTCCATTTTGTCCACGGGAGGAGGAATTGCTCAAAGTGGATTGATGCTGCGCATGACTGGCTTTGTGCGCTGCGTTCTGGACTTGTTTATATGTCGCCTGTCCCGCGGCGCTTTCCTGTGTCCCCAGCAACTCCCTGCGTAATTGTTTCGTCTTCTTCCTTGTATTCCTTTTTAATATTCACCTCCATCCATTTGATCTGAACGTTGCTACGCTTCGGCCCTTATTTTGACCCAAGACATAGCAACATCCGGCTCGCACGTCAGCGCATCGATACGATCAACACACAATCATGGAGAAAGACCGGAGTGCCGGCGCAACGTCAGCGCCTAGCGGAAATGTCGACATCGAATCTGGAAGAGAAACCATTTCACATTGGAACATGATCTTGGATCAGGGTGTCGTCACCAAGGAGATTATTGAATACGAATACGAGGGCGAGGGTACAGAGGAGGATCCATACGTCGTCGAGTGGATAGAGAATGATCCGAGGAACCCCATGACCTTCTCCAAGATGAAGAAGTGGATCATGGCGCTCGCTGTCGCCAACTCAGTGCTCGTCGTATCCTTTTGCTCGTCTGCATTCTCTGGGGGTATGTTCTACATGCATCAATTATCATAGCATTGGATACTGACATTTGATAGGTGTCCAACAAATCATGCGAGAATTCGGCGTCAGCCAGGAAATCGTTACACTCGGTCTATCGCTCTTCGTCTTGGGCTTCGCTCTCGGTCCTCTCCTGTGGGCTCCCTTTTCCGAGTTATACGGTCGCCAGTTAATCTTCGTCGTAACATATACAGCTTTCATGGCCTTCAACGCCGGCGTCGCGGGTGCTCCAAACATCCAGGCCTTACTCATTCTCCGTTTCTTCGCCGCCGCATTCGGATCGAGTCCTCTTACCAATGCTGGAGGTGTCATTGCTGACTTGTTTACCGCAAACGAGCGTGGGTTGGCCATGTCAATCTTCTCTGCTGCGCCTTTCATGGGTCCTGTTCTAGGTCCCATCATTGGTGGCTTCCTTGGCATGACTGAGGGATGGCGATGGGTGAATGGACTGATGGCCATCTGGGCTGGAGTTCTCCTTGTCATTACTGTATGCCTCGTTCCCGAGACCTACCCTCCAGTCCTACTTAGGAAGCGCGCAGAGAAGCTGTCCAAGCTGTCCGGCAAGGTCTACCGTTCCCGCACCGATATCGACCAAGGCAAAGTCTCGCTTGGAGAGGCTTTCGCGACTGGCCTCAAGCGACCATGGATCCTCCTCTTCTGCGAGCCTATCGTCCTACTGCTCTCACTATACCATGCCATAATCTATGGTATTCTGTACATGCTCTTCGGTGCTTTCCCAATCGTATACCGCCAAGGCCGTGGCTGGAACGAGGGCGTCGGCGGTCTGCCTTTTGTTTCTGTCGCCATCGGAGTCATACTCGCCATCGCCTACGTCATATTCGTCGACAACAAGCAATACATGAAGAAGGTCCAATCATCCGGTACTGGGTTTGCGGCTCCCGAGGCACGTCTTCCCATGTGCATTATCGGAGGTATCGCACTTCCCATCGGACTCTTTTGGTTTGCCTGGACGAATGGCCCCTCTGTGCATTGGGCGGTTAGCGTTGTTGCTGCCATCCCATTTGGTTTCGGCATGGTGCTCATTTTCTTGTCCATTATGAATTACCTCATCGACTCATACACCATCTTCGCCGCATCGGTGTTGGCGGGCAATGGCATCATTCGATCAGTATTCGGTGCGGCTTTCCCGCTTTTCACAAGCCAGATGTACAAGGGGCTCGGTATCCACTGGGCTTCTTCGGTACCCGCCTTCCTCGCTGTTGCATGTCTTCCGCTCCCCTTCTTGTTCTACAAGTATGGTAAAGGCATACGCGAGAAGTGCAAGTATGCTGCAGAGTCCGAGGCATTCATGAACCGAATTCGTAACCAACAAGCCGCAAGACAAGAGGCTGGTGGTTCCAGCTCTACGTCAGACCGCATTTCGCGTTCCGACACTCTGACTCCCCAGGAAGAGGTCGAGGAGGAAGCTCATGTGGAGGAGTCTACAGCCACTTTTGAAGAAATGAAGGCCGAAAAGGAGACTGAAGGAGAGGGCTTGAAGAAGATTCAGACTGGACGCTCCAATAGGAGTAGAAAGTCGACACGCGCGACGGAGTTCTACGATAATCCTTATGAGATCAACCGCGTTGCGACAAGAGAAAGCTTCGTGGCGAGGCCTGCAGCGAACAGCCGGGCGAGTTCCATTCGAGGAGGCAATCATTAGTAGAAATGGGGGTGGTTCTTTTTTCTTAAAAGTGTACTCTCGTCGTCTACGGACTGGATGATTTCACGCATAGCATTAGCATTGTATACCCCTCACGTATAGATTTTAGTAAAATTTACTTTGATGTCATCTACCACATTCCAACTCGATGTTCTCGGTCAACATTCCCCAGCGTCGGTTGCTCGATTTAGCTTCTCGATGGATAAACATCGGCGATTTGTTTCGGAAAGTCCGCGCTGCAACGCGTCAGTTCAAACACTACCGCATACGTTACTGTAAGCAACATGCACGCCCGTCGGTCCTTACTTTCTTGTCCCTTGCTTTTTGCATCTTGCGATGCGGCGCTTTTGCATTCTTGACCCATCTTACCGTTGTATGTGAGCATCCATTAGCAATGCCGCGTATACGCAATCGACACGTTGCCATCTGTGTCTTTCTTGTCTGTATATATCTCTTCCTACCCCAACACCATCTAGTTGCATTCCGACATGGAGACAGCGATGGTTCGACTGCTGCATTGGCACGCTACATGAACGACCGATCCTCTATCCCACGTATCCTCGCAACTCCGAGTAGCTTCGACTGGAGTTCTGTGAACTTCAAGTATCCACCCAAGCTTACACCGAAACTACCGCGCTTCGAAACGTCTCGCATACAGCATGCATTTGAGC